AAAAAAAAAAAAAAAAAAAAAAAACTGGATAGCTTGCATCCATGAGTTCTGATGTATTTGATGTGTTATTTTTAGGAAAACAAGCTGATCTGTGGCACCAACCAGAATGGATCTCAAGCAGAGTGCGAGCTGGGAAATCCATTTCAAAGAGACTCAACGGTACAAAGAGTCATTTCAGTTTGACCTGAAACCTCTTCCTACTTAAATATAACAAATGTTTGTTCTGTTTTTTAACTCAAGGTTACATTTTATATTATCCTGAGCACTTTTGGCATCTCTCTCGACACCACTGAGATAGAGATTTATCTGCAGCTTCAAACGTAAGTAAAGCCAAGTCTGAACCTAAAGTTGTGATTCAGGGTAATTTCTTCTGAAAAATAAAATAAAATATCTCTATGGATATGTGTCAAACTGAAGATGACTTCTGTCTGGCCCACCAATGAGGCCCCAAAACTAATTCAATATCAAAATGGATTTTATATCAATGGTAAACTGGAAATTTATTATTCAATGCAAAAAAAAAAAAAATTAAAAGGTGAATGATAGTAATTGTCCTGCCCCTGAGCTGTCGGCTGTACCTGAGCAATTTAGCTGCTGCTACAATCAGCTGTAATAATCAGCCAACATAAACTACATCTCCCATAATGCATGTTGATTATGCGTGGGATTTCACTGTTGGAAAGTTCAGAATTCAAGACAGCTACTCACCACAACTCAGCAGTGAGGAAAACTCCCTTACTTTTACTTTTAATAGTATTTCTATATTATACAAGTATTTTTACGTTTTATACACATAGTACTTTTCAGTGTCTATAAGAGGACACATTAAAACCACTTTTCTGTTTCTATGCAGGAAATACCATTTATAAATTTAGAGCTTTATTTTTGAAAATGGTTTTTTTCTTACCCTCTTCCTATAGAATATAGTTTTGTGTCTACAGATACTTAAAACACTTTGATAAGGCAACATTAGAATGCATTTTTTGTTATTTAGAAGGGGTCACTTCACTCTATAATTTCAAACGTTCTGAAAATTCAATACATCGTTATTCTTTTTTGTAYGATTCTCTCTCAGGACCAGTGAACAAGCTGAACTTGCTCCTGTGCAAGTTAAGAGTAAAGTCATAGTTAAATTACCGTTGTCAGTAAGTGGGTAAGTACGATGCAGAAGATCTGTTGGTGTTACATATTTAGCACCAAACAAGGCGATCTTTTTTTTTTTTTTTGTTTGTTTTTCCATCAGTGAAGCCAAACCAAGTCAGGTTTCCTTCGGGGGTATTGTGACAGGAGAAAGTGCGATAAACAATGAAGAGGAGATCGGAAGTTTAATCAGCTTTACCTTCACTGTGAGTTAACTCACATTGCTTAATTTAAAAGTACTACTTCTTGTATTGTGGCTGTAGTTTATGAATTTCTCCTTCAGATCATCAACTTGTGGAAGTCTTTGGGGCCTTCTGTCAGAGCCTCCCTTCACATCCATTGGCCTAAATCCAACAAAGATGGCAAATGGCTCCTGTACCTGGTGAAGGTCACATCTCATGGACCTGAAGGTGTTGTCTGCTCCCCAGAATCCGAGATCAACCCTCTGAAACGCATTAGGGTTGGTAACATGCTGTTTCGCCTAAACTCACCTTAGCAACGTTTTGCTGCTTTGTTCTGTTAAATGAATGAAATGTCTTTTCAGGAGTCCTCTGTGTCGCGGACAAAACGAGGAATTGTCACAAAAGAAAGAAATGCTGGTGGCAAAATATCTTTTCTTACAGGAAAGAATAATGTTTTGGTACGTTTTGGTGTTTTATCCAGTTATTTTCCTGCTATAAACATGCAGATGTGATGTGTTAATAGTTCCTTTACTTCCTGTTGTAGTCCTGTGAGAAAGAAAACAGATGTGTGGTGCTGAAGTGCCCCCTGCAGGGAATTGATGGTACAACAGTTGAACTGAGATCTCGTCTGTGGAACTCCACCTTTATAGAGGTAAAAACAACAAAAAGTGGTTTTATTGTTTCTGTACATTGAATTATGATGTTTGAATTCCTGGTTAAATTCTTTCTTTTCTTTTATCTTTTTTTTTTTACAGGAATTTGCTTCTTTTTCATCTGTGCTTTTAGCTGTGAAGGCTTCACTGGTGCTTGACAATAAGAACCTGATCCTGGAAAATCCTGACACAACTGTTCGTAGCTCATCACCTTTATCATCAAAGTATTAAATCCTGACAGTTCTAATATAATCACACTTTCATCTGGTTTTTGATGTTGTGTTTCAGGTGATGGTGTCTGTGTCTCCTGACAGCTCAGTAGCTCAGTTTGGTGGATTACCCTGGTGGATCATACTTTTGGCTGTCCTCGCGGGACTCTGTATTTTGGCTTTCATGGTGTTTTTACTGTGGAAGGTAGGGGAAGAAAAAGTAGTACAACTTTAAATTACATGCAAGGTGAATTGAACAAAGAAAAAGAGCACAAACGTCTGTGAGCTTACGATGGGACAGTGTCCATAAGTTTGAACTAAAAGACATTGAGTCAACTTTTTTTTTTAGTTTTAAAGTTTCTGGTTTTAGGTAAAGCTGCTTCAAACCGCACCAGTGCATGCTGAAGGTCTTAGCCCATAGATGCCAACAGAACAACATCATCTGCATACAGCAGAGATGAGACCCTGTGGTTCCCAAATCAGACACCCTCCTCTACATGCTTTGGTTCTACAGGGACTGGATTGCTCTTAGTAGCAACCCAGACATCCGTACTTCTGCAGCACCCCCCTCAGAATGCCTCAAAGAACAGGGTCATAAGTCTTCTCCAAGTCTACAAAACACATGTAGATAGGAGAGGCAAACTCCCACGACCCCCTTACCAACTCTGCAAGGGTAAGGTTCTGGTCCACTGTTCCACGATCAGGATGGAAGCCCCACTGGTCCTCTGGGAGGGCATGAAGTGGGATCTCACGAGTCCCACAGACTCTCTGGTCCCCCTCTTTAAAAATGAGAACCACAACCTCGGTCTGCAACTCCACAGGAGTTGTCCCAGTCCTCCATGCGATGTTGAAGAGACGTGTCAACCATGACAGCCCCACAACATCCAGAGCCTTCAGCATCTCTGAGCAAATCTTGTCCACCCCTGGCGCCCTGCCACCGAGGAGCTTTTTGACTACCTCTGTGACCCCTGCCATGGTAATGGGCTTGTCTTCTCCCAGGTCTTCAGACTCTACCTCCTCAAAAGTTGACATGGAGAATGGATTGAGCATATTATCAAAGTGTTCCTTCCACTGCTCAACRATACCTCAATCCGGGTCAGCGGTTCACCACCTAAACCAAGTACAGCCTGGGACAGGGAACACTTTCCTTCCAGCCGTTTTGGATGTTGTCAGTCCATTAAATGGATGTTATTAGCGGTTATCAGTCTCATAGAATGGCTTCAGACTGTCCCGACAGTGCCCCCTAGTAGGTTACCAGTGCCATATACGTTGGAATGCAACAATGTGCTACCACTGGAGTCTGGTCTACTTTATTGTGTCATTTTCTCTAAAATTAACCTTAGTGGCTTTATGCCTCATAATAACCAGGCTGCATAAAAAACCTTAGTGGCTTTATGCCTCATATTAACCAGGCTGCATAAAAAACCTTAGTGGCTTTATGCCTCATATTAACCAGCTGACACTCTGAAGCCAGTCTATGGGACTGATAATGGCTAATAACGTTCATTTAATGGATGATAACATCCGAAGCGGGTGTTCCTTCTCTGAGTCACTTGGGGCTCAATGGCAAGCTCCTCCCTCAGGCTGGTTTCTCCTGTCCAGGCAAGGTTTCCTGATGTGGTTGAGGATCCATTTCATCAAATGTTTTGAGTCACTCTTAGTCTGACCCCTCCCCTGAGCTCTGTCTGCCATGGGACACCCTACCAGATATAGTTGCTGGGATCATGGGAGTACGCAAACCCCACCACGTGATTCTGTGGAGTGTAAATCTTATATTTCAGATGTTCAGAAGTCAAAATCTGTCTTCTAATGTAATGTTTTACATGAAGTTCCCACCAGTTTACCTTTTTAATTAATGATTTATTTAATCATAATTTGTTACAAACCCTATATAGGAGATCACAACAGATTGGGAAAGGTTACACTTTGGATGTGAAATAAAATTACCAGAGTTGTGATTTTAGGATAAAAGAACTGGAAATAAAATATTCCCCCTGCTCTTCTTCAGTGCGGTTTCTTCAAGAGAGCAACTAAAGACCAATACAATGCAGCATATCACAAGGCAGAGGTCCACGTTCAGCCCTCTGACGAACTCTCTGATGAGGCCTGATTTATTCTCTCTGATTGGGGTAAAGTCGGCGTGAAGCATGATTATTACTTCAGCTGCTAATGAGCTCATTTTTCCAGCCAAACTTGCTGACTTAACGCAGAAAAGGAAAAAAAAAAAAACCCAATCAGACACATATTGTACAGAGCTGACAGCACAAGTTATTTGGAGAATTTTAATTTGTGAAAACATTTTTCCATAACATCAGCATAAAAGAAATATTTCACCAACTGTGTAAAACAAATAAGAAATTAAGTGTGAGGTCTTTGTGCAATGTGTGTCTCTGAATTTTGCCAGGATATTGACGCAACTTTTACAAAGTTTAAAATTTTTTTTAATACTGTTTTCTGCAGCTGCTTATGTCATCTCCTGCAAAGCATGCTAACCTCTTGCACCTCTCTTTTGGTTGTTTCCAAATCAATGCTCCTCATTTTAAAATAAGTGTTTCAATCTCTTTCCCGATCCAGTGTGGCTTCTTCAAACGCCCCCAACAGACCGTCAGCATCCCTCGCTACCATGCTGTGAAAATAAAAAAGGAAACTCTTCTGCATCGCGATGGCAAAGTCAAACTTGATGGTTTTGAGAAGAAGCAGTGGATGACGACATGGACTAACAATGACAGTCACTCCTGATTGTTCATTTCTTGAATGAGAATCTGCTTAACCTGTGCCAAAAACGGATTGAATTTTTATCATTGTTAATTTAATTTTTTGTGCAAATGAGTGTGTTTTTAAATGTAAATAATTCTTTGAAGGAATGAATCCTGTTTAAGAATGTGGCCGTGTCCCAATTCAGAGGCTGCATATGTTGAAGGACATATTTTAAAGTTGGTTTTGTCTCCAAGGCCAAGTGTGGCTGAAGGATGGTGACGTGCAACAATCAGCAGTGAAATCAGTACAGAATCAGCTTTGATTTCACTTTTTAAAGTAAGTATAAGGGTAATTTTCAAAAATATGATTTATATTATAAATGTATAAACAAATGTGTGCTCATGTCTAACATCTATGAAACTAATTCTCAAAGTAACATTAGGAACTTGATTTTAATGCAGACACTATTTTATTTGCACATTAACCTTACTAGATTTCTTTCAAGTTTATACCAGTAGGTTAAAGTTTTTTGTTTTTACAAGAAATCAACTTTTCTATCAGTGTACTAATTTGCATTAATATAAATAATTATTTGTAATTTTTTGTATTGCTATTTTTTGCTAATGTGGCTGCTTTCCTATAGAGTGCTTTAATGTGGTTAAGTGTTCCATTAAATGTGTTTATAAATGAGCAAAGTAGAAAGTTTATTTAGTCAAACTAGAAAATAATTATGGAGCTAAATTGGGGTCATAATTTTTGTTCAAAATAAAGTTTTTGAAACTGAAAAAAAGAGATTTGAACCTGAAAAATAATTTTGAAATTGAAAAAAAAAAGTTTTGACACTGTAAAAAATACTTGGAACTGAAAAAAATATATTTGAAACTAGAAAAGTTTCAAACATCTTGTCTTTTCAGTTTCCACAAATTTTTTCAGCTTCAAAATAATTTTTCGGTTACAATAATTATTTTTCAGTTTCAGAAACATTTTGTTTTGAACAAAACTTATGACCCCAATTTAGCTCTATAAGTCATCGACTGTTCACAGCAGTTATAAATTCAACTGTTTGGGCATTGTTGTATTTGTTTTTAATAATGTTTGCTTATTTTCCTTTTTGTCTTTGAAACAGATAATCCTGGAGAAAATGGATCTGCAAGGCAAGGTAAGCCCCCTTGTAGGCCAATAAAAAGACGATAATCTAAGAAAAATACAATGTAAGCATTGTTTTTTTTTTAAAGTTTGCACTACAGTGAAAACCATGTAGAAACCCTAAATTGTCATGGTCTTTTCCTGCTCCAGGAGTGTTCACCTGCTGGCCGAGGAGCAGGGTTCATGCAGGATCTTAAAAAAATCTAAAAAGTCTGAAATTTGAAAATCTAAATTTTARGCCTAAAAAGTCTTAAAACGCCCAGATTTTCATCCAAGGTCTTAAAATTTACTTTTGTCCTGTTTTAATTTATTTACTTTTGATCATTCTCGAGAAGCATATGCTGCATAAACAGAGTAAAAAAGCGCCGTAATCAGAGGTTTATGCGATTTGTCTTCATGAAGTGCTAAGTTTGTTATCGCTCTTTGTACACATTAAACTACAAATCCTGATAACTGCAGGCAAAAAACTGCACAGTTTACTTCCATGTTTTTGACCTCTTTGCCATTACCCCCCCCCCATATATATATATACCCCAATACAGCGGCTTGTTCACCCACCCAAAAAATGAAGAAGGTCAGTCATGTCCACTGCTTGTGGTTTAAACATAGGGAAGTGTGTTTTCAATGAGACTTGACTTGATATCAGTGATTTTTGCATTCAGTTGGAAGCGGTCCACAGCAGTCGATAGGTCTCATATGACCGTTTCATTAAATAGTGTTCTTGTATTAAAATTAAATATTCTTTCTATGTTAAAACTTCTGGGACCATTTGAATGTTTCTGTTAATGCATTGGTTTGATCTTAAAGTCATCCGTAATGGTCTTAAAGGGTCTTTAAAAGGTCTTAAATTTAACTTTAACTTACCGAAGGAGGGACGGGAGGCCCTCTGCAGCTTGGCTGTAGAACAATCTGATCTTTTTTTCAGGTTTCAGTGATACTTCTGTCAGTGCATGTTACTAGATATATTCAAGATGTATATTGGTGGTCCTTGTCTCTTCAGCATAGCTCGCCTCAGATTTCATGGTCTGCAAAGGACCCAGTCTTTGTGATTCTGGAAGGGTGGGTCCTCAGAAGCATGCAGCTTCTGACCTGGGACACAGCCACTGTACAGATGATGAAATATTTTTGTATAAGTGTTGTATATATTTAAATATATTTCCACATTTTGTATATTTTTATAGTGGAAAAACCCACAAAAGGTTTACTGCTGTTTTAGAATCAGTACTTTCATTTTAAAAACAGAATTGTATATTAAAAAAAGGTACAAATGATCACTGTTGTGTATATTTAAATGAATATTGGATTTTTGTGGGGTTTATGAGTCTTTTTTCAGTACTTTCTAGTTTATTTATTTCTTTCTTTTTGATTTGATATTGTACTTGTCGGTACGACATCAGGTCAAACACATTAGTAATAAATTCATCACGTGTTCAGTGATCCTGTGGTGTATAGAGTCCACTGAATTGTAAATTCATCATGGGGAAACTGTTCTCCATTAGAATACCAAAGGGAAGATGTTGGAAAACAACTTACTGTGTTTTACAAAGGTGATTTTTTGTTAAATTGACAAAAAATAAAAATAAATAAAATAAAAAAAACTCATTTCTGCTGAGTTTCTCTGTTTGTATAAATCATGAGTACAATTTAAAATGTAAAAGTAAAC